TAAACAACGGCAAGATAATGGTGTACGTAGGTGGGGGAAGTTCGCGAGACACCTGAAAAGAAGAACTGGAGGAGGTTGATGAGTCAGTATTTGCACTCAGTATTTACATTGAATGAATAGAAAATCCCTTTCTAGGGATAAAAGCATTGTTAGGATACCTCCGAGACAAAAGCCCTAAGGAACACTCTGTAGTTTGTATTCAGCTGCAGTGGTTTGTTGTAATAATATTGATCCCCACTACTTCTCTTACTCCTTTCTTTACCACTGGACTGTGCTCCATCTCCAATAACAAATTCCTGATTTTTATCAAAACTAATTCCGTTAAACTGAAAAGCGACATAAGCAGCAGGAACAGAAGATTTGTGCGCTTCCTCATACGTCATCATGTCTTGTGTTGTAAATCTTCCTGGTGGTTTGACAGCACCAATATAGTTTGAGCTTAATCTAATGATGATAACTTGAAAAAACCTGCAAGATACGCAACAAGATATTAGTGTCAGCAGTAAATTGTGGTGCCAATTGTTACATGTCAATTGCATGTCTTTTACGCTGTATTTTCTTTTGCGTCTTGGCAATATACAGGATGTCCGATGATCACTACAGTACAAGAGCAAAAAGCTCAAACCCTGAGCCACTTCTCGCTTTTTTCAAGTCCTTTTACGGCTATTCGTAAGCCTACCCTTCTCCAAATAGCCCTCAAGATAAACGTGCAATTACTTAGTGAATCATACCTTGCATTTCCAGGAAAACGTGGAAGCGTGACTTTAGCAGAAATTCCTCCTCGTCTTGAATTCGCAGAGATAGAAGGCGAAGATGGCGTTTCTTTAGACCACACTACAGCTGGAGAGAAGGGAAAGAAGGCTCAGTTTAGTCAGGTAAATCTAACGAGATCCTTACTTTATTCGTAAACGTGTGAGGTTACAGGTACCTGTTAAACATAAACTCAAACGGCTGGTGAATCACTCGCCTTCAGCTTGAAACCCTCATAATTTCCCTGTGTTTGCTAAACTTTCCCATAAGTTGTTGCAACCCTTCTGATGAACCCCTACCCTGCAAATCGCCTCATTACAGGCTTACTTACCCAATGTCTGCACCATTACAGGTCTACTGTAGGGTCCAGGCCCCGCAGCAGTGTAGCCTCTAACAGAAACTTCGTACTTGGCACACAAAGAGAGTCTAGTCACGAGAACATAAGTTGTGGTTGTGTTAGTGGTTGAATGATAGGCAGACTGGATCCCTGTACAGTTTTCCA